TCTCTCTCTCAGCCTCCCCCCATTGACCCTGCACCCCTCACTCATGCTCTTAACTAACTGAGCCACCCAGGAACCCCCAGATTAATGTTTAATCAAATACTTGGACACCCCATAGCCCAGTAAAGTTAGGGCATAAAATTAACCATCACCCCATGTCAACTTGGCACCGATTTACATCTCTTTAACTTATTCTTAATCTCCCAATAAAGGCAGTGACAAGGTCATAATTTTGCCTAACATCATACAGTTATCCAGTGTACAACTGAAAATGCATTAACCCCCTTTAAAAAAATTGTTTTAATGTTTTATTTCTGAGAGGGGGAGAGAGAGAGAGAGAGAGTGTGTGTGTGTGTGAGCAGGGGAGGGTCAGAAAGAGAGGGAGACACAGAATCTGAAACAGACTCCAGGCTCTCAGCTGGCTGTCAGCACAGAGCCCGGCGCGGGGCTCGAACCTACGAACCGCGAGATCATGACCTGAGCCGAAGTCAGACACTAAACCGACTGAGCCACCTAGGCGCCCCTGCATTAATCCCTTTATCAGAAGATGAGGTTAAGTCCTTAAGTGATGTTTACACTTCTTAATATCCCTAACTTAAATACTACAATGTAAAGTTAATAATTAGATATTATGCTATTAATTCAATACATGTTACATGATAAGGGAGTAAGAGAGGGAGGGAAACAACAATATTTGCCTCACACACACACAAACATATTCATAACAAAGAGGACATATTCATGATGATTCCAATACTTGACTTTTGTTACTGGTCATTTGAATAGTTGGTATTAGTAACTACCTTTTTGCCACTGCATTCTGTATTCCCTTTGCTTTCAGCAAGCACCTCAGCTGGTTGTGGCTTTTTGCCTGGTCGAATGACCCAAACCTTCATTCCCAAAGGATTTGGGCAATTAATAGTCTTTCCTGGATTGGGTTGCTGTAGTTTTCCATTGACTTTAATCACAGGGAATCGTAATACTAAGAGGTGGCTTAAGGGATCTCCTGTACTCCAGACATTTCCTTACCTCCACTGTGGCAAACCAGTCCAGTCTGCACTTGGTAGTCAACATCACTCACCCCAGCCAGCACAGTAACTCCTTCTTGTTGATTCAGAAGCATGAGCAATCCAAAGTGACTGAGTGGCAGTCTTAAGTTTTATGTCAATGGGATAATTGTTGTGTCAGTGGAATAAATGTGAAAGCATTCCTCCCTCTCGAAAAGACTTGTAGGCCAGCAAATCATAAGGACATGGGAACTAGAAGCAAAATTTTGCTAGTGGGTCTTTAGAGGTAATAATGAGTGTTGCCACTACCATTCCACCCCTTGATTCCTGGATTTGTGAATCCTATTTGTGGGAGAAACAGCACCCTATGTGGGATGTTGATTGACAGGATATGTAAGTGTTCTGGAAACCCTTGCCCTAGCTCTGCAAGGTATTGTCACCTAGCTGGCACTGAAACTGGGTCTCCAAAAGGCCATTCCACCATTCGGTCAAACCAGCTAGTTCATGATGGTGGGGAACATGTTCAGACTAGTAAAATCCATGAGCATGGGCCTAGTGTACCATTGCTTTTGCTGTGAGGTGAGTTTTTTGAACAAACAATGCTATATAGAATACCATGATAACAGATAGGCATTCTGTTAGTCCACAGATGGTCATTTTGGCAGTGGTGTTGCATGTAGGGACAGAAAATCCATATCCAGAGTAAATGTCTCTTCTAGTAAGAGCCATGCCCTTTCATTTTCATGATGGAAGTGGTCTAATATAATCAACATGTTGCAAGGAAAATGACTGATCACCTTGGGGAGTGGTGCCATTTTAGAAACTCAGTGTTGATTTTGCTGCTGACAGATGGGCACTCAGCAAGGGCTGTAACAACGATGGCATTTGTTAGTGGAAATCCGTGTTATTGGGCCCTGCATATCCTCCATCCCTCCCACCGTGGTCACTTGGGACATGAGCCCATTGAATGATGACAGGGTGATTGGGGCAAAAAGCTGATAGTATCAGCTTGATTATTAAAACTCTCCTTTGCCGAGGTTGCCCGTGAGTATTCTCATGGGACTCTGATATCCTCACTATTTTTTCTGGGTGAGGGAAATCTTGTCTACCTACCTTTCCCCAAATGTCCTTCTCATGAACTTTCTAATCATGTTCCTTCCATGTCCCTTACCATTTGTTTAGCCTAGCTTTGGCCATAGCCCATGAATCAGTATATAATTTGTCCTTTCAATCAAAGGAACAACTAGGCTCATTGCTAAATGGTTTTCCTATTGGGAGGGTTTCCCTTCACCACTGTCTTTCAGGGATGTTTCAGCAAGGGACTACCATGCTGCGGAACTACAGTTCACTTCTGGGAGGTGCCTGCGTATCATGCAGGACTTGTAAACCAGGACCCAAGGCTTCTTTTTTCCTGTTAACTGATCATAGGGAGCTCTCATGAGATCATAAGTACAAAATAGTAGAGAAAGTGAATTCACTCTAACTCCACCTTTTGTGTTATTCATAACTTTTTAAAATTTATTTTTCTGTTTCTGTACATGAATAAGATTGACCATTTATATTTTGGGGGGTGGAATTTATCCATTTCACCTCAGTATCAACATATTTGGCATAACATTGTTAATGATATTGTTATTATCCATGATGTATTATGGGTTATTTCCTCAGATCTGCTGTTCTGAACCCTAACTATCTTTGTAGCTGAATCTCTCCACTCTTTTTTTTCATCCATATTAGTCATTGTGGTAAAATATAAAACATAAAATTTACCACTTTACCTTTTTAAATGTACAATGCACTGACATTCACAATGTTGTGCTACCACCGTCACTATTTATTGTACAGAAGTTTTTGTCATCTAGGACAGAACCTCTCCACACATTAAGCAAAAACTCTCCAATCCCCCTGTATCTTCTATTCTACTTTCTATTTCTATGAATTTACTTATTCCACATAACTCATATAGGTGGCAACATACAATAGTTGTCCTTTTTGTCTGGCTTCTGTAATTAGCATAGTGTTTTTAAAGTTTATTCATAGAAGAGCATGTATCAAAACTTCTTTCCCTTTTACTGCTGAGTGATATTTCATTGTATGTATATACAACATTTTGTTTATTCATTTCTTAATAGACACCTCAGTTGTTTCTACCTTTTGACGATTGTGAATAATGGCAGTTACGATCGCTAGTGTACACGGACCTGTTTGAATCCCTGTTTTCTGTGCTTTGAGGTCTATACCCAGGAATAGAATTGCTAGATCATATTCTAATTCGGTGTTTAACGTTTTCCAAAACCATGTAACTCTTCCACAGGGGCTATACCGTTTTGCCTTCCCTCCAGCAATGTACAATATTTCTAATCTCTCTATATCCTAGCCAACACTTTCCGTTTTGTTGATAGTAGAAATGCCCTTTTGGGTGTCAGGTAGCTTCTCGGTGTGGTTTTGATTTGCATTTCTCTAATGACTAATGATATTGAGGATCTTTTCATTGGTTATTGGCTATGTGTATATTTACATTAGAGACGTAATAATTCAAGTCTCTTGCCCATTTTAAAATTGGGATTATTTTTTCTTTATTGTTGTGTTATAGTTTTCAAAATATATTCTGGTTATTTATCTGATCTATGATTTTCAAATATTTTTTTCCCATTCTTTCGGTGGTCTTTTCCCTGTCTTGTCCTTTGATGGTTTGTAATTGTGATGAATTCCAATATATTTATTTTTTCTTTTGTTGCCTGTTATTTTGGTGTCATAGTTATGAAACCCTTGCCAAATCCAGGGTCATGAAGATTTCCCCCTGGTTTAAGAGTTTTATAGTTTTAGCTTTTCAATTCAGGTCTTTGACCTATTTCAAGTTTATTTTTAGATACAGTACAAGGTCAGAATCCACCCTTATTGTTTTGCATGTAGAGATCTTGTTTCCCTGCATCAGTTGTTGAAAAGACTGTCCTTTCCAAATTGGGTGTTCCTGGCACCCTTACTGAAAATCAGTTGTACAAAATGTAAAGTTTTATTTCTGGTCTCTCTCTTCTATTCCATTTGTCTCTCTTCATGCCAGCCCTACATTTTTGTTCTTTCACTCATAGCCTCAGGTAAAATAGGCAAAGTGCCTTCTGTGGAGTAGGTATTTGCTTAGTTCACACATACTGGATGTCACCAACTTCATATTAGGTCCCTCAAACTGACCTCCTGCCTTGCTTGGGGTCTGAGCTTTCTTTTCCTGCCTTTTGAATACGGTGCTAAATGAAATCCAGGTTATTAGTTACTATGAATAATTAGTTACCTTAAGAATAAACTTTGGCTCCAGAGCTCTCTCATCCAGTGGAACTGTATCATCTTGCCAGCATTCTGTTTTATCTCCCACATTGCTGGTTAAAGACTACTTGAAATGTAAGTTGTTGACACAGTATTATGCATTTTCAAATGTTCTTCACCAGGAAGGGATTCTCTCTGCACATCTGGTCCACCATATGAAAATTGAGAATAGGACTTTTAAGATCAGTAACCCATTCTTGATAATCTGCTTATATATAATTAGAAATGATATATTATGGCATTTATATACATTTTTCTAAGCAACTTTCATTTTAATTACATTACTTGCTTAATTCCATTACCTGCTTTTATAATTTTCTAAATAGCTGTTACTATGTTACTGTATTAGTAGTTTGGATATAGTGACATGATTTTCTGGTTGCCAATATTATGAAGTAGTTGTTAATATCTTCCATTGGAAACAGTAAATGCCCTTAGCAATGACTACACAAATCAAGAAATGGCATAGCTAACATTGCGTTTTGCAAGTTGTAGCTTGTATGGGAGAAATGCAATTCTTTGTCCATAGAAAATTGTACATTCACTGTTATTTGATAGAACAATTTGTACTTTATTAACATTATTATAATAAATATCTTTCACTTTTTGATTTTTGTAGTTTTACAGTCCTTAGTATTGGTATGCTTAATTTCTTTTCTTTCTTTCTTTTTTTTGCAGGTTTTCTTTAGGTGATGCCAGAAGGCCTCTTCATGAAACAGCAGTATTGGTAGAAGATGTGGTACACACACAGTTAATTAATCTGGTAAGAGCATATGTAATCTTATTTGATGTCTCTCCATTTTGCTTATGTTGGAGTTGCAACCCAACCCTTTTTTTTTTTTTTTAAAGATTATATTTACATTTAGAATTGTTTTTTTGTCTGCTGGGTTAAGGCATAATTTACATAAAGTCAAATTTGACCAGTCCATGTGCAAAATTCAGTTTTGACAACTGAATACTGTCGTGTGACTCTGAACACAATCGTGTCGTCGAATGTTTTCATCATCCAAAACTGCTGTCTTGTGCCCCTCGGTATGGTTAGTCCTTTCACCTACTCTCTGACCCCTGGTAACCCTGAACTGTTTTTTCAAAACTTCTCCATATTGCTCTTCAGACTTACAGAAGAACTGCACAAATAGTACATAGAATTCTCAGAGACCTTTCATCTTCCTTTTGTTAACATCTTATGTAACCACAGTACTATTGTCAAAAGCAGGAAATAACATTGGTGTAATACTTTCAATGAAATTACTGACCTTATTCCATCAATTTTCTTTGTAATGTTCTTCTCTTCCGAGAGCCAGTCCGGGATAACACAGCATACTTAGCTATCTTGTCTTTGTAGTTGTCTCCTTTCTAGGATGGCTCCTCCGTCTTTTCTTGTCTCATGGCCTTGACACCTTGTTAAACTTACCAGACAGTCGTTTTGTAGAATGCTCTCCTTTTCTCAACCTATCTGATGGTTTCTTATGATTAGAATGTGGCTGTGCGTTCTTGCCAAGAATACCACGGAAGTGATGAGTCCTTTCCAGTGCATCATATCAATGGGATTCATGCTGTTGATGTCTTATTTGTGATCTTAACCTTGATAATTCGGTTAAGGGTATATATGCTAAAATTTCCCACTATAAGGAAATTACAGGTTTTTTCTTTTTGTTGTAAATAAATATCTTAGGAGAGGTATTTTGTGCCTCTGCAAATATTTTCCTTCTCCAAAAATTTGTGCCTATTTGTTTTAACATTCATCCATGGATCTTGTCTGAGACAGTTATGACTGTGGTATTTACCTAATAGTGGTTTTCTATTTCCTTCTTTCCTTTTATATTTTTTAATTGCAATTATTCTTAAAGGAATACCTATCCTTTATCACTCTTTATTCAATTTTTAATGTATATTTGTATCAACAATGTATATTTAAATTTTATTCTTAGAATCATTATGCAATTATATCATTGTTTTTATTGCTCAAGTTGTTACAGTGTTGGCCTTTAGAAACACTTTCATATCCTTTTCCCGTTTTTCCATCAGGATTTTGATCCCATATATTAGAGTTAGCAGTGCTTTGTGGTCTATGATGCAAATATATTCTTCCATTGTGTGTTATCTTTTGACTTTGTTTTTCTGGGTTTTTTTAGACCTACAAATATATTTATTTTAAGTGAGCCAAATATATCAACCTTTTATTGTCTTAGGAGTTTGAAATATAGTTAGAAAGACTCTTTATATTAAATTTGGAGAAGAATTCACCCATGTTGCCTTCTGATACTTGCATGGTTTCATTTTTAACATTTAGATCCTTAATCCATTTGTAGTTTATTGTTGTTATCATGTGAGATATAGATCTGATTTTATCTTTTTCAGAGGAATACGCAGTTATACCATCATGATTTATTAAAAAGTCCAGACTTACCCTAATGATTTGAAATACCTCCTTTATCATATACCAAATAAGCATATTTGGGATCTATTTATGATTTTATATTACCAGTGCCCTATTTTTCTATGCATGTGATAATACATTTTAAATTGTATAGGTTTTATGCTAATTTTAAAGATTGTTACAGTTAGATTCTCCTTGTAATTTTTCTTTCTGTGTGTTCCTGAGTATTCTCGTATACTTATTTTTTTATATGAATGTTAATATTAGATTTTCTAGCTCCATAAAATAGCTTTTTGGTATTTGTTGAGAATGCCTGAATTTTTAAATCAATTTAGAGAGAGCTACATTTTTAAGTATGTTCACTCAGTCTGAGAATAGGGAATGTGTACATTTTTTCAAAACCACTTCTGTGTCTTTTATGAGTGTTTTAACATTTTTCTTCCATAGGCTTCACATATTTCTTTTTGATTTTTGTTGCTACTGCAAATGGACTTTCTCTATAATTACATAATAGCTGAAAAACATCTGAAATTAAAATACATACATCTACAGATTCAAGGAGCTAAGCCAACTCCAAATAGAGTAAACCCAAAGTAATACATGTTAAACTGCTGAATATAAAAGACATAATATAAATCGTAAAACCACCCAGATTTAGAAGCTCCTGGGTGGCTCAGCCAGTTAAATGTTGATTTTGGCTGAAGTCATGATCTCATGGTTTGTAGGATCGAGTCCTGCATCAGGCTCTGCGCTTTCTCTCTCTCTCTCTCTCTCCCTCTCTCTCTCTCTCTCTCTCAAAATAAACAAACATTTTAAAAAGTCTTTTGAAAAAATCATCCAGGTTTATTACCATAGAGGAACAGTGACTTGAAAGGAGAATTCTCATTAGAAAACACAGAGACTAGAAGGAAATGGCATAAGTTTTAAAGTACTGGATATAGAATTTTCAATGGGCACCTATTTTTATCTGACCTCATATTCACATGGTCTTTATTTTTTATGTGTCTCCATGTGTCCTTCTGTCTTTAAGAAAATGACCAGATATTTACTATTTAGTATATTAAGTCTATACATGCTATTATCTTCACATCACAGTGTGGTAGCTTTTCCTTTAAAGAGTACTGTCTTTTAGGGGTGCCTGGGTGGCTCAGTCTGTTAAGCATCCAACCTTGGCTCAGGTCATGATCTTGTGGTTCTTGAGTTCATGCCCTTTGTCAGGCTTTGTGCTGACAGCTCAGAGCCTGGAGCCTGTTTCTGGTTCTGTGTTTCCCTCTCTCTCCCTGCCCCTCCACCACTCACATTTTCTCTCCCTCTCCCTCCCTCCCTCCCTCTCTCTCTCTCTCTCTCTCAAAAATAAACATTAAAAAATTAAAAAAGAAAATAAAGAGTCCTGTCTTCTAAAACAATTAAGATGTAATCTTTTACTATTACTCACGTATTTACTGTTTACCATGCTCATCCTTTGTTCTTACCAGTCTGAGTTGCCATTTAAACCATTTCCCTCAGCCTGAAAACTCTTAACATCTTTTATAGTAAAGGCATGCCGGTGATGACTTCTCTTTAGTTTCTTCATCTGAATCTATCTATTTTCACTTTTTTACTTGAAGTGTTTCTTTTTTGTATGTGGAATTCTAGTTGCTAATCTTTTAGCAATTGTGCCCCTCCAGTGTTTCTCATCATACATTAGTTTCTGATCACAGGTCCGCTGTTACTCATATGTTCCCCTGAATTTGACATGTTGTCATTCCCTGGCTGGTGTCAAGATTCTCTATTGCTGGATTTTAGAAGTTGGATGTACGAAGCACTGACTTTCTTCATGATTATCTTGTTTGCAAGTTTGCTGATGTTGTTGGTTCTGGAAACTAATGTTTTCCACCAATTTGCAAAAGGTTTTGGCCATTACTTTGTATTGTGTGTTTTTCATTCTTCAATTTCAATCACATGTGTCCTGGACCATTTGTTATTATCTCACAAATCTCTGAGAGCCTCTTAATTTTTTTTCAAATGTTTTCCCCCTCCGTTTAATTGTTACTTTGTTTGCCTTTGTAGTTTCTATTGATTTATCTTTAAGTTCACTGATTCTTCTGTACCCTTTAATCTACTATTTAGTCTACTTAATAGATACTTATTTTTACTCATAGTATTTTCTATGATACTATTTGAAAGTGTATCTTATTGGGCTATGATATTATTTTTTAACTAGGGACACATTTTTATGTTGTTCTTACATTTTAAATCTAGAAGTTCCAAAGTTAAATACAGGAGTTATTTGATGATGGTAATTATAGTAGTATAAACAAGAATTTGCTTGTGTCTTTACTTGAAGGAACGTCTCATCAGAGTATATGCTTACTTTTCTTTATCCACATGTTATTTAAATAATTATTAAGTAGTAATATATTATATATGATAATATATTAAATAATATATATTATTATATATTATATTATGATATATTTGTGAGATTGACCCTGTCCAATTCTCACAAAATGTAAAGTTGAATGAGACACCTTGCTAGAGGAAGGTCTTGCTTTTTTTCTCTTTGCCATATTGAGGCATGCATTAGAGTGAGTTCTTCAGATTAAGAGAGGAATAATAGAGAAATGGTTTTTAGAAGTTAGGCTTTTTTCCCATTGTATATTTGTAGCCATTATGAATTATGTGTATGTCCATGTGTGTATGTGTTTTATGCCCTGTTTTGTAATTCTCTATACATTTAACTTTTAAGACTAGTTTCTTCTTTAATTCTTTTATTCTGTGTTTATTGAGATATAATGACATCCAATATTGTTTGAATCTAAGGTGGACAATAAGATGATTTGCTATGTTTATATTACGAAATGATTACCACATTAAGGTTAGTTAACACATCTACTACCTCACATATTTAACATTTTTGCATGAATGATGAGAACATTTAATATCTACACTCTTAGCAACTTTTAAGTGTACAATATCATTAACTATTCACCATGCTGTTCAGTAGGTCCTTAGAACGGATATATCATGTAACTGGGAGTTTATCCCCGTTGACCACATTTTCCCATTTCGTCCACCCCTCAGTCCCTGGAAGACCCCAGGCTACTCTCTATGAGTTCAGGATTTTTTTGTGGTTTGTTTTGGGTTTTTTTTTGGTTGTTGTTTCTTTTAGATTTTGCATATAATGAGATTATTCAGTATATGTCAGTCATTGTCTGCCTTATGTCACTAAGCTGAATGCTCTTTTTTTTAATTAAAACAAATTTTTTAATGTTCATTTTTGAGACAGAGACAAAGCACAAGCAGGGGAGGGGCAAAGAGAGGGGGAGATGCAGAATCCGAAGCAGGCTCTTAGCTCTGAGCTATCAGCATAGAGCCCAACGCGGGGCTCGAACTCACAAACT